CCATCCATCCATCCATCCATCCATCCATCCATCCATCCATCCATCCATCCATCCATCCATCCATCCATCCATCCATTGCAGCCGGAGCTGCGAGCTCTCCAGCATTCCTCCGCCTGCACCTGCTGAATGAAGCGAGCGGGCATGGGAGGACTCGCTGTTGCAGTTCTTCAAAATTTAAAGCATCAGTCAAAAATTACATTCTGAATATGGAAAATAAAACAAATATACTGTAAGTCGCTTAGGCGTATAAGTCGCATGACTGACAAATCTATGCAGAAAATGCGACATACACGCCCCAAAATACGGTAGTTTACCACGAGTACTTGTACGTAATAGACTTTTTTCTCTCTACAGGAGTGACGAGTTGGATATGATTTCTGAGCGACGCTTTGGATCATTCCCTGAGTGATGCGGCGGAGTGGAACACAGGTTTGTTCTTTGAAAGCTTTATTATGAATAATGGAGGAGCACAACGACACCACCTCTGTTTGGGCACCAATGCCCTCTGCACCCCACAGACAGCTGGGCACTTGTCCCAACCCGCAGACTCACCTCAAAGACCTGACGGGCATGTTTTTCATGGTGACCTTAAATGTTCTGGCACTCCTGACCAACACTACTGTCATGGTGGTTGTCATCAAAGCTCCTCATCTCAGGAAATTTGCCTTTGTGTGCCACCTGTGTGCCGTGGACCTGCTCTGCGCCACCTTGCTCATGCCTCTTGGCATCGTGTCTAGCTCTCCGTACTTTGCTGCGGTGGTGTTTACCATGTTAGAGTGCCAGGTCTACATATTCCTCAACGTGATCCTCATAGCTGCTTCTATCTTCACCATCACAGCCATAAGCGTGGAGCGCTACTACTACATAGTCCACCCCATGCACTACGAGGTGAAGATGACTCTGAAGCTGACTGCAGCTGTGATGGTGATGGTGTGGGTGGCCTCTGCCATTCTGGGCTTTTGCACGGTTTTTGGATGGCCGTCCTATGGCAGCCTGAGCTCCATCAGTGCTTCACACTGCTCCCTCCACTGGAGCCACAGCGACCATAGGCGGGTCTTCTCGGTGCTCTTCAGCATCACCTGCTTCTGCTTGCCAGCTGCTGTGATTTTGGCAGTCTACTGTAAAGTGTACAAGGTGGCCCGAGATGCAGCCCGGCAGCACGGACCTCTGCCACTGTGGACAAACAATCAACTGAAGCATTGCTCCGACTCCATCAGCAGCCGGACCACCATCATCACAACCCACAACGTCCCTCGCAGGATCACCCGGGATGCGCTTTTTGGCGGCAGTAAAGCTGCTCTCACTCTGGTGGTCATTGTTGGCCAGTTTCTAATCTGCTGGCTGCCATACTTTGCCTTCCACCTCCGCCTGATACTAGATGCAACACCTCACACCCCTGATGATGTGGAGGAAGTGGTCACCTGGCTGGCATATTCCTCCTTTGCCATGAATCCCTTCTTCTACGGGCTTCTCAACAGACAGATAAGAGAGGAACTCTTCAAGCTGCGACGCTGCTACTCGGCCTGCCCAGTGGAGCTGGCTGTTTCCAGCCATGACGGCTCAGGCCACGAGAACTTCCTGCAGTTCCTCCACAGGACCAGCTGCACCTTGGAGACACAAGGCAGCTTTACCACACCCAGTCCAATAAGTACTCTGGATCAAACTGGACAAACTGGTTTCAGGATACCGGGTCAGATCCCAGAAGAGTTTGGGTAGATCTCAATGTTGGGACAAAATAAATGTGGACATTATGCTATTGTTGTTTAGAATCTGATGCTTATTTTTCTTTGTATTTGTAGTAAAATGATCAATAAAGAACATGTTTTAAATCAGCTATTAAAATTAAATTATTTATTTTGATCAGTCAATAAAACATATGTACCACACTATTACTTTGAAAAATATAAAACTAGTTTTACAGATAATTATATTCATTCATTCAACCTTTATTTAGACAGATAAATCCCATTGAGCCTCGAGGACTCATTTACAAGAGAGACCTGATTTCAACAAAGAATGATGACAACAATGGACAACAGCGACAACAATTGATGGCCACAAAAAGGATACAGATTTATTTTATTTTTTACAAATAAGATGCAAACAAAGTTAATATGTATATATTATAGTATATTTATAGTTTGTTCATTTCAAGACTCAAATGCTATTTTTTTTTAAATTTTGCTGCTGAAAATTATTTTTATTTTTTTATAATAAATACAAATATGCCCAAAAGCTTTGTAATTTCTTTTTGAATTAAATGTGCAATTGAGTCTTGACCTTTTGTTTGACTTGGTTGAATTTAGATACCTTGTGCATTATAAAAAAATATCTTTGATCTCTGGAATAGACAGCTGTGTTAGATATCGAGTTGTATGAATGCTCAGTAATAAGTAATATTTTTGTTCTAGTTTATTTGGGCTTGTGACAGGAAAATTAAATGCATACAAATAAACAATTGGTATTTTTAGGAGCTGTCACCAAAAATTCAGTTATTTTTCTAAAAACTATGACAGATGTCAAAATACACACATTTTAAATGACTTTGACTTGAAGTTCTATGCTTCTAATAATTTCTACATCATTAAATGAGTCTTGTGAGGCTTAATGCAACTAAACATCAGTATTTTTAAATAAAAATTGAGTTAGAAAATAATAAACACAACTAAATTCAGTTTCAGAGTTTAAATATCTTAGCACAGATCCATCCATCCATCCATCCAACCATCCATCCATCTTGTGAGGGCCAAATGTAAATAAGTACAAAGATGTTCAATAATCAGCAAAAATTTCAATTTAATAGTTCCAAAAATAGTTAAAGATTCAAATATCAATGAAAAATAAATCAAAAGATAAATAACAAATTTGGGCCCAACTTAAATGAGGTCAACTGAACACTAACAAAACTGACCTGTTAAACAAAGAACAAAGGGCTACTTAAATAGGGGCGGAGTAATCCAAATCTGCCACATGAGGGAGGCACAACATAATAAAGGGACAAAAAATACAAAATTTGCTAAAACAGCATCTGAAACAAATAAAGCAAAACTAACTTTAACTTAGCACAAATAAGTGAATACTAAAGTGACAAATTAACCAACTAAAGCCAGTATCCTGATGCATGCTCAATAATCCAGGTAGAAAAATCTAAAAAAGTTAAATCTGGTCCTCTGGACATTCAAAAAAACAAAACAAAGCAAAACAACAAAAAAATGTAGAAACGAAACGAAACACTCTGAGCAGCAGGACCACACTTTCCACAGAACAACTGTGTCAACTCTTGAAACTGTGCCTGCAGTCAACCTACTTCACATATGGGGAGCAATATTATAGGCAGAAACATGGGTGTGCTATGGGGTCGCCAGTTTATCCTATTGTTGCCAACCTGTACATGGAGGAGGTAGAAAAGAGAGCCTTGACGTCCTTTTCAGGGACACCACCAAGTCATTGGTTCAGGTATGTTGACGACACCTGGGTTAAAATTAAATCTCAGGAAGTCCAACATTTAACTGACCACATCAACTCTGTGGATAAATATATCAAGTTCACACGAGAAGATGAAAAAATGGCAAGTTGGCTTTCTTGGACTGTGAGGTCTCAGTCTCTGATAGAGGACATTTGCAAACCGAGGTGTACCGCAAACCCACCCACACAGACCAGTATTTGCAGTTTGACTCCCATCACCCTTTGGAGCACAAGTTAGGAGTCATCAGGACTCTGTACCACAGAGCAGACAGCATCCCCACTAGCTCAGGAGCCAGGCAGAAGGAGAAATCCCACACAAGACAGGCTCTAGAGCAATGTGGATATCCTAACTGGGCCTTCCTGAAAGCAGAGAAGAAACCCAAACAGGACTCCAGTCAGCCAACAGGTGAAAAGGAGGAACCCAGACCCAGACCAGTGGTCATTCCATATGTTGAGGGGGTATCAGAGAAACTGAGACGTTTATTTTCTAAACATAACGTCCCAGTGGCTTTTAAACCCCAAAATACATTACGGCAAAGACTGGTTCATCCCAAAGATCCAGTCCCCCGGCACAAACAGAGTAATGTTGTGTATGCTGTTCAGTGTCAGGAGGGCTGTGATCAGTCTTACATCGGGGAAACTAAACAGCCACTGGCCAAAAGGATGGCCCAGCACAGAAGATCAACATCATCAGGCTAGGACTCTGCGGTCTACACTCATCTCCAGGCCAGCGGTCACTCTTTCAGGGATGAAGATGTGCACATCCTGGACAGAGAGGAACGATGGTGTGAGAGAGGAGGCCATCGTTGTGAAAAGAAATCGTCCATCGTTAAACAGGGGTGGAGGCCTCCGGGTTCAATTGTCCCCCTCTTACAATGCTGTGATTGCTAGTATCACTCAGCCCTCTGTGAATAGTAAACAGCCATCAGTGTGCTAATGATCCATTGTTAGGCTGATGGTCCTTCTTGAGCATGTGATCAGCTGGTTTTGGTTGTCAGCAGCAAAACTGGTTGATCCACTCTGAGAAGGTGCTATTTAAGAGACTGAGCTGAATACAGCACCTCAGACTGAGGAAGTCTCTCGGATGAGAGACGAAACGTTTCTACATTTTTTTGTTGTTTTGCTTTGTTTTGTTTTTTTGAATGTCCAGAGGACCAGATTTAACTTTTTTTAGACAAATAAAGCCAAATTTAACTAACAGAAGTTCACCCTCCCCTCAGTCTTTTAGAAAAAGTGGTATATTCCAGGCTTCCTTCTCCAGCTGATCTTTATTTGCAGCACCTCAAAACAAGAGAACAAGTGTTAGTAAACCATTCAGACAAATATTAACTAAAGTGTGCACCCATCAAAAAATATATGTCTAAATTACCTTAAATGTATACATGATGTGATCTGTAACTAATAATGTAAATTAAATAAATACTAACACGATGTGGTAGACGCATCCACCTCACATCTTTACCCACTTCTTCCTTTTCGGGTCACAGTAGGTCACTTGTGCCCATATCCAGCAGCTTTAATTCTCTCCAACTCTGATTTCCTTCCTCAAAACGACTCTGACTATCATCCTTATAGGTTTTAGTCACTGATATATTTCTTTATATTAATTTGAAAACAGAAGAACTTTACTTTTCCACCTGCTGTCTCAGATTCCATTGGTTCTAACGAACTCTGATTAGATTATTTCACCATATTTGCCACGAGCTGAGACAGTCTGAAGTGTTTTTGTCAGTGTTCGGCTGTAAACAAACAACTCGTAAATGTTGGCAACAAAACCTATCTCTGCTGATTTTACTCATTTATTACGAATTATGTGGTAGATCTTCAGTAGAGAATTATGCTTATTCAGTGGATAATTTGATCATAGATTACACATATAAAAAATTTTTTAAAACTGTATATTTGACAGCTTTAAAGAGGTGAAATGTCCTCATATTGGACAAGTTTGGTGGTTGAATCACTCAGGTAATCATCGAGACCTGAATTAGTTTTTCATTTTATTTATCTCCATTTCTGAATGGTCTTTATGTTGACACTACCTTTTGGTTTTTAGGAACTAATTTTAATTTTAAAAAATGGGCAGGCTAAAGTAACATAATCTACTTCAGTCTGAATATCATGACTCACATAAAACCTGTTCAACTGACCTAAAGGGCCCACCGCCTCTCACACAGTGACTGCTGGATATGGGCACCAGTGACCCCCATGACCCCAAAAAAAGGAAGAGGAGGGTAAAATGTAAAGATTATGGTCTTAGAGTTCTGTGAAGCTGAAAATGTGCAGTGGTTTTAATAATTTGGACATATTTATAGCAGAAGGCTGCCAGTCTGGGTCAAACCTTGATGTGTCTACTTATAAAAAGCCTGTGATTAAGACCGAGCCCAGTTAACACGTGATTACATAAGGAGAAAAGGCTATTTCATAACAGATGAAGAGATTCTGTCTGAAACCCTTTAATGTGTGTGCAGGGATCAACAGCTCAAACTTTTTATTTATAGCTGTATCATTTAAAATAAGATCAGTAATTACTGGAGACATCCTATCAACTAAATAAACTGGGTCTAAAGATACAAAATGTGTTGGATTATATTTTGCATTGAAGTCTTAATGCCTTGTTGGTGGACGCTATAAGAGAATGTGCCACTTTCACAGATTAAAGGATAACATCAAGCAGAGATGCTGATAAAAAGCTGTCAAATGAGAAGAGCTACATCTGGGCTAACACTCTTAACACCCAGAGATGTACTCACAAATCAGTAACAAACAACCTAATTACACAGATTCATATAAAATAACCACGGATACGTATCAAGCAATGTTAGTGTAGGCAAAAATATCTTATGGACGAAAAATAAAAAGCTAAAAATAAGACTTCATCTCTGAATAACAGTAACCACATCCCAGTTTATTGTCCCCCAGATATGTTAAAAGCAAGATAACAATGGGCTGTTTTACGGTGCACGGCTGTGAACAGATTCAGGAAAGTGCTGCAGAGCAGCTCCCTGAGCAGCTCTGACAGCCAAGTGCTGTTATCAAAGCACATAGAACAAAAGAACAATCCGGAAGGCACAATGATAGCGTTATGATGCTTGACTGGACGTTTGTTTCCGTTTCCGGCTGCACTGAGACATATTTCCATCATCTTTCCAACGCCCACATAAAGTGGATACCATTTCTTTAATTTGTTGCCTTACAACCTGCATTTAATTGCTTCTATTGTATTATGAGAAGTAATTCTACAAAAGTACTTC